GACCATATTGCACATAGGTGCAAGAACTGGCCGGGAAGCCCTGGGTAGAAATGGCAACGGAGCTCTTCTCCTCCATTTCAGGAATATCTCTTTCCAAATCGAAGGGTTCCTGGTGGCACATCTGTCTTCCGTGGTGAGCTGGGGAGGTGAGTTTCTGGGAAGGCCCAGTATGTATTCTCAGGGCATGGCTTATTCCCAGATCATTGCCAATCCATCACATTTTCCAGTAGCTGCCCAGAGGCAGCACTGAGGCTTCGATTAAAAATCAGATCACCTCTATCACTACCAGGTGGAGGCAGGGGTTAATTTGTCTCTTTGTCCAGACACCCCACTCTCCCCCAAGCTCCCTTTCACTTCCCTAAAGCTCACAAACAGGTAATGCCCTGAAATTGACCTCATAATTCTGCTTGGTCTGATTGGCAAGTTCAGTCATCCTCCAAAGCCCCCAAATATCTGAAAAAGTCCATACCCTTCCCCTGGCCACTGCAGAGTGGGGCACAGGGCTCAGCTGAGAGTCTCAAGTACCCAAGCAATCTGGTTATCATTTACTTTAGTGAATCTCAAACTGAAGGGAGAAGAGAAGATTACTCCCTTTAATAACTATTTTTATTTTTATTGTTGTCAACGGGTTAGACATTTTTTTTTTTTCCCCCTGCAGAGTGGAAACAAATGGGTTAGGTGAGGCTTTGAAGGGTGAAGGCCTAGTTCTTGTTTCCCTTCCATTCCCCCTGCAGCTTCGGCCCAGACGGGTTTCCCCAGCAGAGTGTGCCTGTGATAAAGAAGACAAAAGGGGGTGGCCCAACCCGAAGTTTGACTCTGGTCCTAGGGTCTGGGTCCCCACAGCTGTAGCTCACAGGAAGCCCCCAGGCCACCAAGCTCCAACTGCTTCCTATTTCCACTCAGTGCCTGTGGTGGCTCAGTAGAAGAGCCACCACCCCATCCAGCCCTCTTCCCCTACACATCCTGCCAGGCAGTTCTGCGATGGGACCCATTCACAGACAACTGTTTCTGCTATATATGCCCCCATAGCCCAGCCCGTCCATGCAACCCTAGAGGTACAACACAGATTTTTGGCTTCCATGAAAATAAATCCTTTGCAGGTTCTCTTTGGTTCACCTGGAGAGATAGGCTCAGCGGCCGATCAGGCTTAAGCTGTTTACCGCTCGGCCTGATGCTCTAACCTGCTGCAGGTAGGCTATGGGCAGGGGGTTAGGTGCTCTTTCCCTTGCAGAGCCCAGTGAGAGATTCTTGGGGACTGGGGGTCAGGGGCTTTTACCTTAAAAGGGTGTGCCTCACACCTCAGTGCAGATTTTAGGCGGGAGAAGAGCATCAAAGGTCGCACCAAAAGCCTGCCACGCACTGAGGGAGGGCCTAGACTCAGGGACCCCAGGAGAGGCTTTCTAGCAGGGTCTTGGCTTCCCTATCCTCTTCCCCGCCAGGCCAGCCCCGCTGGGCCCCATGTTCCTACCAGGACCCAGAACTCTGATCCAGCCACGTCCTCTCCCCTGGGCTTGCAGGCACTCCCTCTCGCCCTCGCTAGGCCTTAGCGGGCTCCGAAGTCTGCCGGACTGGGGCAAACCCCGCTCTTCTGGGACGGGGACACAGCCTGGGCCACCCGTGGCTGCGGGGATTCCTTTCCAACAGGGCTGGGGATAGGAGAGTTGCAATTCAAGAAAGAACCTGTGCCTCCAGTGCACGAGCCCAGGCTACCAGAACCCGCTTGCCGCTGGAATGACGGCCCAGCCAATTGTGCGTCCTGTGCCTTCTTGAGGCCACGGCGGCGACCGGCCCTGACCGTGGAAGCGGCCGTGGCTCGGAGGACTTGACCTTTACGGCGCGAGAGGAGGGCTCTCGCTGAGCCGCGGGGAGGGGGACGCTGCTCTCTCTCTCTCTCTCCAGCCTCTTCCACCCAATAGCAGCCCGCTCGACCCACGCCTGCTGCGCGCTCACCCTCTTTCCCCCTCCATTTTGTGCAGTGTCCGCAAACCTGCGGCGGGAAACAAAGCCCCCAGCCCTGCTCTCACCACCCTTCTTGAGAGCTGCTGTAGCCTACTCCCCAGGCCAGAGGCTGAGAGCTAACGCCAGGCTCCTTAAGGCCCTTTTCAGGGCCCTCTTCTCTCGCCTAACCCCAGCCGCCCTCAGCCAGCGCCTGGGTACTGGTACCACTCAGGGTGCCAACCGGGACCTGCCGGGTACTACTCAGGGTGCCAAGGTCCCGTACACCGGGTCCCGGCCTCGGGCTGCGGGCGGCGCCGGGGCCTACACCCCAGCGGAACTGAGCGTGGCAGAGGCGCGGGGCGCAGCGGGGCCCGAAGCTGCCTCCCACCCGGGTGGACTCTGCGGCCGCTGCTGGGTGCACAGCGTGGCCCCGCGTGCCCCCGCGTGCCCGGCTCGCTCTCCGCGCCCTCGGGTCGCTCCCACCCCTGGGCTCCAGGCTCAGAAAGCGGAAGTATTTGGTAGAGAAAAACACGGTTTCTTTTCAGCTCGTCTCAAAACCCCTTTTAGAGAAAATGCTCCTGTCAAGTTTTATTTCCCGTTGCAAACCACCTTCTACGCTGCCAAGAATTAAGACCGGGAGAAATTAAATACCCGATTATTCTCTTGGGGAGGGCGTGGCGGGGAGGGAAAGGGGGCACCCGCACCAAACATTCCTTGGAATCGGCTTGTCCTGATCCAGCCGCGCCCGGGGAGCCCCGCGAAGGCCCACGCGGCCTGCGGTGACATCAGCCTTCAGCTGCGGGGCCACTCACCCTCACAGTCCCGGCCCTAGCGGTTCCGCGCCGGGACCTCCGCCCGCCGTCCTGCCGCAGCCCGGACCAGCCCGCGTGCCGTCCAAGGGAAGCTGGCTCTCCATGGGCCTAAGCCTCCATTTTGAGTAGGGGGTTCTTGTAGAAGCATGGAGGGTTTGGGGCCGCGCCTGTGTTCCCGAGGGGTGCGACATCGGGTGGCTCTCGGAGTTCACACCCCAGTACCTGGGGGAGTCCCTATGTCTCCGCACAACCTCCCGTAGAGGTTTGGAAATCTCTGAGACCCGTTGTAATTATTTGTGCCCGGTGGATCCGGCTCTTCAGTGCCATGAGAGCCGGGCAGAAATGAAATCAACTGTGGCAAGGCCTTGGCTGATTTTTCGGAGGAATTTTTCTGCGCCAATGTCTTTTTTTCTTCCCTTTAAAATCAAATTGAAAATAGCAAGCACCTCCCAGGCATTCATCAGAGATACGTAGATGTGCAAAGATTGAGTGGGCATTTTCATAAAGAATGAGGCCAGCTGTTATTTACCCGGCGGCCTAGACGATGAAAACTTAATTATAGTGCCTGTCCTAAAACCCAGGCATAAATCTTCCTCTGCCTTTTGGATAACGCGACATCTTTGCTTATGAGAAATGGGATGTGAGCAACTCGCTGCACATTTCTCTGATTCTCCAGGTCCTGGTCGGCTGACACGCATTTGATCAAGTTTAAAGGAATGCGCATAAATCAGCAAACCCCTAGCGTCTCCTCGGGAGAGGCCCGCAAATCCAGGAGGGCGCCTCTGAACCCACTGGGTCTGGGGATTAGCAGTCCCGGGTAACCTCCGTCTCTGCTCCTGAACTCGGGAATTCGCAGAAGACGCAAGACACCGCATCTTCCCCAAGCCCTCCAAACACATGCAGCAGAGTGCAATATGCACTCACATCTATTACAGAGTGAAATCTGTGTCAACTCTCCGCACACAAATGTTTCATCCGCAGCTGAATTTCGCTGCCTAATGAATTTTTAAGAAAAGATTTCAACTAGATTGTTTTAAATTTTTTCTTTCCTTTTCTGTTAATTTTTTTTAAATCCACAATTTGAGTGGGTGGCTTCAGCTCTGCATCAGTCACAAATAGTAGTAAAATGCATAGTGACATTTAACAATCACCCATTTAAAATAACTAAATAAATAAGACAGTACTGAGAGCAGATAGAAAAAAGTAGGGTTTTTAAAAAGTCCCATATTTATTACTGTTTATTCAGGAAGAGTTTTCTTTTTAGAAAAAAAAAAAAAAAAACTTTAATCAGGTTTTCAGCAACATTATCCATGGATCAGTGGCTGACACTATTATTCCTAATTTTCAAGAGGTGGCTGGTCTCCCCTTGGATGTCTTTTTTTTTTTTTTTTTGAAAGGTTTTAGACGGATTGCTATTTGGGCATTAAAGGAGCCATTATAAATAATCCATGCTCACCTCAGGTTATCTGGTAAATCCACAGAAATTTTAAATAGGAGGAATTAGGGTAAGATCGACACTATCAATTACCATTTTAGAACTGGGGGAAAAAAACCCCACAAAAACCCTGAAATATCTTCTGTCATTACAGTTGCAAAAACTAGAGAGAGAAAAAAAGAAGGCTACTACTTTACCCAGGGTTCCTGTAGTGGTGATGGCTTTCGAAAGGGGCGGTATTCCGGCTGCAGAGCTGCTGTTGGCCTCCTTCCTAGGCTCGAGGCTCAGAATATTTCTTACATCTAAAGAAAAATATCCCCCGTCAACAGAAGAGTCCCCTTTGGAGCTGTTCTTAAACACACAGTTTGATCCAGCTTTGAGGGGATTTTCCACCACTTTAAACATTTTGGGAAGAAGTTGGTATTTTGGCTTGATGGCAGCTCATTTGGAAATGGAGTACTGTTTGGAACAAGAGGTGGAGAGGTGGGTCTGAAGCAACATTTTCATTTGTTTCCACAAGTGGAGTGAAAATCCTCAGGGCAGCAAAATATAACTGAATTTCTCAAGACCTTTCAATATGTGTGTTTCAATACCAGCCTGTTTTTGAGACAGCTTTAGAGACTCTTTCCATAATTCTCATCTATAAAGAAGCTGTGAGTCCTCAGGAGAGGTTGGAGAGGTTTCCGGCAGCCAGTTTTGTAACCAATCAATATTATTTTCCATAAAATGATGAATCTGGTTCTTCCATTCACTATTACTTTCCTCTAATATAGAGATAAAATTAACCTGCATCTCACAATTCTGCACCCCATGGCTACTGACTCCACCAATGTTTTAATACATATGCACATAGCATGGATTTGACAGAAACACATTATCCTACGTGTGTATTAAATATATAAACATACATATGTATTCTTTATGACTCTGAAAACAGCACCTGATTGTTGTTAGAGGTCAACAGTAGATATAATAATTTTGTTATTATAGTTTTGGTAAGTTGCTAATATTAAACATATTTATTTCTCCCACAAATCAAATGGCAGATTCACAAGCATCAATACAAGATTGCACACCACCCTGGAGCAGTACTCAGCTCTGAGTTATCCAGGATAACTCATGTTCTGTATCCAATCCTGTGGTCATTTTGTAGATATGAGATATTAAGTCCTCTTTACTGACCTCTCAAGAGGTGGGTTTCTTTGAATTTCTGAAATGTAACTCTAGACTTCTAGAGTTAGCAAGGCATCTGAATCTTAATTTGCTCTAAAGACTCCCCAGTAGCTCTAATTAGAGTTGGAGACCACCTTGGAGGGTGAGGACCAGGAAAGAATGGTGATTTAAGAATACCTCTTAGACTGTAACAAAAATGTACAGCTTTAAAGCAGATCTGCAGAAATCTGATGCAGAGCAAGCCACTATGAAGATAAATCAAACTTGGCCATTAGAGAAAAGGAGCAAGGCTTCATCTTGTAAAGTACGTTTTGTACCTCAACTCTAGAAATCACCTTAAATTACAATATGTTGGGTCATCAGCAATTAATGATATGATATCTGTACAGATTCTACAAATATATATACAAGCACACACAAGCACTAATATGCAAATGTATACATGTGTACACATATATTATATATTTACATATATACAGGGACATGTATAATTTACATATATTCAAATTTGCTCCATCTGGAGTCAAATAATTGAGTACTGAATCTCTAAAGTCAAGGAGGTAAGAGCTCTTGATTCCCTTGGTTGAAGAATTACAAGGAGGCTTGTCAACGCGAGGTGGCGCCCTTGATCTACTAATCCAGCTGAGGCCAATTCATGAGCTGTCAAAAGTCAAGGTCACAAATTGTCTTTTTTCGTCAAGGTCAAGGTTTAAGGCCTTTCGTAGTCCTGTCATTTCAACAAATATCAAAACCTGCCCTCTCAGACACATGCGGACCCAACAGCAGATTTTAAAATATGACAGCCTAGGCATTGCTGATACAAAACAACTGGTTTTCATTTTCCACAGGGAGTCTGGGAATTCATACTATCTCTTCCTCCTTTCTTTTTTCTCCCTTTCAGAATACCTGACACTTTAATCTCCTTGAAGCACTTATCATTTTTAAGGATTTTAGTTATGAGGGGTTTCTCCCTCTTCTTAAAAATTTAGTAGCAAAAAATGCACTGAATAATAATAATGGTCCTTGGTTTATGTAAGACAAACCTGCTCCTTTTCTTTCTGTGCAGTGCACATTTAGCATAGAAAAGTAAAGAGTATTTTCTTCAGATTTTATTGGCAGTGACTATTTTATTAACAGAAGTAATACCACTATATCACTATCTACAGGTCTACTTTTTTTTTTTTTTTAGTAGAAACATTTAAAAAGCAGGTGCAGAAATACATTTTCACAGTGTGCTGAATGTCTTTATTTACAAGATATCATTCTATAGTGAATATGAACAAAAAGAATGTGCTGGTTGAAATACCTGATTAAAAATGTGCTGTGAAGATGAATTACTAATCTTTCTAATGCAGTTTGATAACTCAATAAACAAGGAAAAATACTACTCTTAATAGTTCAAAATATAGAATGTAGACACCTAAATGTTTCAGGGAAATTAATTTTCATTCTGAGTTTTCTTAAAAAGGAAAATGACTTCTCCCGCTAATGTTTAGCAAATATTGAGAAATGCCAATTTAAATGAAAAAAGGAATTGTGTTCAAACCAAAGTTCATCATGTTGGGACGGAAACTCCCTGAAGATTTCACATAAAGTGAATTCTGCAGATCATCTGATGATTTAAATATTTTTAAAAAGATACCAAATCCTTTGGAAAATAACCGATATTGGGGCAGTAAATATAATCCAAATGCCAGAAAATATACTTGTTATAAGCAATGAAAAATTATTCTTAAAATGATATTAGCAACCCAGGTTCGTAGTCTGAAAGGTTCAGCTCGTTGGTTTTACTATGCTACCAAGACAAATGATCCTCAGAAGAGCTTTCTCTCCCTTTCTCCCTTCATGGCAAATAGTCCAAAAATGATTATTTCAGTACCTTCTCCTTTTCCCTCTAAATCTATACATAAAATGTTTTGCAGAACATACAACAACGGTAGGAACTTCACTAAGATTTACCTGAGCAGACACTTAACATGCAAAGAGAATTGCGACCTAAGACGGACAAGCAGATGTTTACAATGGCCTCTTGATTTTGTAACCAGCTTCCAGATTATTACCATCTAACGCAGTGCCCTAAAATATAACGATCATATAAATACTTACAAGATTTCGGTCACTGCGTAACTTATCTGAAATTGCGTATTTTGGGGTTTGACGTTTGACATTTAACAGGCTGGGCTGGTGGGGTTGGCGGAAGAACCGGCAGGCTTTACCTTTCTTAACGTTTAAAACAGTTGTAGATTCCATTAAAGAGAAAGAGATCTCCTTCAGGAGAGCAAAATGCCAGTGTCTGTCTCTTTCTCTTTCCCATTCTTCAATTATTATTAAACATTATTATCATTATCTGGGCAAAGCAACGAGTTCTGAAGCGTTTCTTCAAGTTGCCTTCTTGCTCCATATTTAATCCATTAACTAGTGCTTTTCAGTTTGTTGATGACTTTTTTCTCTTTAACCCTCCTGTTCTGGAACCAAATTGTGACCTGCCGCTCAGAGAGGTTCGTCGTGGCTGATATCCGCCTCCGTTTGTCCTTAGTAATGAATTTGTTCGTGGCGTATTCCCGTTCAAGTTCTTTTAACTGCACCTTGGTGTAAGGCACGCGCTTCTTTCTCCCTCTCCTATAGGAGCTGGCATCCGAGGGATGGGAGACCACGTCTAGAAGATAAGAGAGAAGGCAAGTTACACAAGGATCAGACCTCAGCCAGGCCATGGGCGACAGCTCGAACTAAGCCACCCGCCTTGCAGCGCCCAGCTGCTCTTTGCCACGCGCTGTACAATCCGGCCTTCTGCCAAAGCCTAGAGGGTCAGGGGGAAAGGTGGTTAGTTCTGAACTAAAATGAAATCACCCAGGGCTCCAGTGACTTCCCCAACCCGGCCATCCTGCGGAAGCAGCGAGTAGGCAGCCTCGAGAGAGAGCTTGGTCCAGGGGCCCACACCTTAGCGCCAGGCTTAAGGTACAGCACTTCTGTGCCTGTTTCCTTCCTGGGTGCCCGTCCCAATACTCAAAGCTTCTACACTGAAGCCATTTTTGAGAGAATGAATATAGAGGGGCAATTTGGGGAGCTGTTTTCTGGTCAATTTCTCATCTTTACATTGGTGTCAGGGGCTGGGGAGGGCGGGGCGCAGAAGGAGAGGGAAGCTAGCCTGGGTCCCCACAAGTTCTTTCCCAGCCACCCCTCACCCAGGGAGGGCCAGGGGCCAGCTCAATTCAAGGCAGCGCAGGCAGCCCCAGCCAATCATGCTCGGACTCCCAGGGTTGCAGAGCCTCTAGGGCAGACCAGGAAGAGAACAGAAGGGCACCCAGCAACACCCAGGTGCGAGCGGCGAAGCTGGAGCAGAGACGGAAGACCAGAGCTGGAAATAGGGCGCCATTTACCGGGCAGAGTGGACTTCCAGAGGTGGGGAGGCTGCGCCTGCTCTTTGGGGCAGTACATTTGGCCGTTCCAGCCGTTGGGCAGCGCCCAGGGCTGGTAGCTTTCCATGGGAAGACCCAGGGGCTCGTGGCGCGACTCGCCGGGGCCCCCGAGACCAGGCACCACCGGCATATCCAGGTAGCCAGGCATGGGCTGATGATGGTGGTAAGGCCCGGCTGCGTAGCCCTGGTGGTAGAAGGCGAACTCCTTAGCGCGGGAGCTGAACTCCTCGGCCGCTGGGCCGGCGGTATCCATGTACTTGTCCGCGAAGGCGGCGGCGGCGGCCGAGGCGGGCTGTGCGCACGACTTGATAGCGTTGGGGTGCGGGCCCATGCGGGCGCACGGGTAGTAGCCGCTGCCGAAATAGCCATAGGGCAGCGCCGCGGGCCCCGACGAGCTCTGCGCCGCTGCTGAGCAGGGGCTGCATTGCTTAGCGGCCTCTGCGCCTGCCGGGCCCGCCGGGCCAGGCCCTCCCGAGGACGACGCGGCGGCGGCGGCAGCGGCGGCGGCGGCGGCAGCAGCGGCGGCAGCCGACGGGGGCGCCTCCCCGGGCGCGCTGCTGTAGGCGGACGCGGCTCCTGGCGCCAAGGGCGCCGGGTGCGCCATCAGGTTGCGGCATTGGTTGGCCGCGGCCGCAGCCGCCGCCGCGGCCGCCGCCGCCATCGAGAAGTTGCCCCCTGCTGCCGCGGCTGCCGGGTGGGGGAAGCCCCCGCCCCCGGCCCCGGCCGCTGCAGCGGCTGCCGCGGCTGCTGCTGCAGCCGCCGCCCCTTCCATGTTCTTGTTGAGCTCGTCGGCCACCAGGCCGCCGCCGTTGTCGTAGAGAAACATGACGGTGGGCTCGATCCAGCGGGGGTGGAGGAGCACGGAGGCTGTCATAGCCCGAGCCGCATGGAGAAGACCCCAGTGGCGCTGTTTTAAAAAGCCCCCAAGAAGTGAAGAGCGCGCGGCGCGGGGCCGGGGCCCCAGCGAGGGGGGCGGATCGCGCCCCGCGGGGTCGCGCCAGGCGGCCGCCCATTGGCCCGGTCCCCCCCTCCGCTCCGCCCAGGCGTATGCAAAGCGGGCGGCTCCTACTCCAGCTCTGCGCTGTGCACTCGCCGTCCCCGCCGCGGCCCGCGCCGTCCCCAGCGCCAGGGCCAGCCGCGCGGTCGCGCACCATTCACCCCAGGGAAAGGCGGGGGAACGTGCGGGTGGGGCAGGGAGGGAAGGGCGGCCCCATCTCCGCCCCCCTTCCCTTCCTTTATCCCGGTGGGGCCCAGACCCGGGCAACCAGGCGGGGAGGGGAAGTGGGCGCGCGGTTGGGTTGCGACCTGAAGCGGTGGGGACAGTTCAGGTAACAGTGCCGGCGGTCAGGGATGGGAGAGTGGGGAGGACGGGACCAGCCTAGCTCAGAATGGGTGTTTCTTGGGGCCTCTGAGGCTGTTTTCTTTCCAGGAACCGGCGCGTATTTCTGCAGTGAGACCCTAGGACGGACTCTACGCTTTCGGCTTCGATGGAGTCCCGATTTTGCTCTTTCCAGGGAAACAGTGGCAGGGTGTGTGCTGCTTGTCGATTCCAGAGGATATGCCTGGCTCATGGGTCCCCGAACATTCCACTGGAGGCTTGGACTGCTTTTAGGAGCTCCCATCCCTTCCCTGTCCACACTGTTAGTAAGCAGTTTCACATGTTTGCATTTAGATTCGTAGGCTCAGAACGTATCATCTCTCTCTTTCTCTCTCTCTCTCTCTCTCTCTCTCTCTCACACACACACACACACACACACAGACACACACACACACACAGTGTACACTGACATACTCAATCACATTCACACACTGTTCCTTGCTCTGAGCCGGTAACAACGTTTCCTCCTCCAGAGACTTTGAGATAGAGCGAGTGATCCGTGGGCACCATTCATCCTTGCTCGTGCCTCGCCAGTCTGGCTAGCTTGTTCTGGAAGGGGCTTAAGAGGAACAAACCCCAGCTGTGCTTCTGGCTGGGACTCAAGCCCCCCCCTTCTGGGCCCTAACGCCTCCAGCTTCTTTGTGGACCGGACTTGACTCTCCAGGCACCCGGGAACCCACTATTTCATTCTATTTTGGGACAAGAAAAAGGGGCTCTTTGAAGCCACTTCCTGCCTTCCCCTCAAGTAGGATCTCCAGCCTGCAGTGATTGCCTAGTCCTTCTTTGCGCAAGAAGCTTTTCCTCTGTGCCTGGGAAATGCAACCTTCTCCTGGGAGCATGATAGGGTGTTGGTGCTGAAAGAACCAAGCAGTGACCCTTCTTGCAGCTGCCATGTTTTGGTGAGGGGTTCTGGGGGTCCTGCTGCTTTAGGGGCACATACTTCCACTTCCTGATTCGCTACTGTGAGCTAGTCAGATGCTTAGAAGGGGAACAAGCTTCAAAGTGAAAGTGGGCACATTACCGGAATAGAGCTGGGGAAGAGTACTGGATTCTTTTCCACCCCAGGCAGACTGGTGAGAAGCCAGGCTTGGACCTGTCCTCTGCTCCTAGCTTGCAGACCAGCTCTAAACTCAGAACAGCATGCATACCACCCCCCTCCCCACCCCACCATCTGCTCTCTAAGGCCCCTGGGCTTCCTGCAGGGTCCAGACCAATGTGACTGGGCTTGGGCTTTTATCTGTCCTGATCCTGGGTTTGTCCTGACCAATGTAAGTGTCGCCCAATAAAACCTTCTATGACCCCCCACCAGCCAACCCCCCCACCCCAGTGTGCCCTTTCCTTCTTGACTTTCTCGCAGTTCTGGGTAAATATTGATTTGCCCCCAGTTTACCTTCTCCTTTACTGGCCATTTGCAGACTCAGAAACTAGCCTCTGTAGGGACTTGATTTTTCTGCTATTTTCTGGCCCTTTCACTTACCCCTCTTCCTCCCTCCAAGTGGCATTGTAAAACTCACAGTGACAAAGACACAGGGTAGGGTTTGAGGCCCCAGTTCCTGGGGACTTGAAGGAGGTTTTACATACGGGTCAGACACGGCTGGAGGCCAAGGTCAAGTTGAAAGTTGCAGTCTAGCCAGCATGAGAACTGCCATGCAAGCGTGGAGACCCAGGCGGCTGCAAAAGGCCCACTGCCCACATCCCCTCACTCTTAATTTTCTCTCTCTTTCTAAAATTCTCGGCTCTGACTCTGTGTGGCTGCCTGGAATTTTTTGCTGCCTTGGTGGGGTTTTTGGGGCCGTGTTTACCGACTCTTCTCCTCTGCCTCTGCCCTGCTCAGCCGGGGCTTTGAGCCTCTTTGGTTTCCCAGCCAGACCCGGAAAAATGAAAACACAGCTTGGGGAGCCCCCACCAGCCGGCGCCTGTGCCAGCTCACCTCTGGCCATGGTGGCAGCTGCCGGTGCACAAGGCGGCCAAAGCCAGCTCCACAATCTTCCCTCCCCCTCCCACTTTACCAGGAGCTCCGAACCCTGCGTGCAGAGGAAGGGCCTCAGCTCCACAGACGACTAGGTCCCTCCTCACCGAAAATGGTGAGACAAGATTTCATCTTGTCCGCTGAGGAGCCACAAGCAGGTTTGTCTGGAAGGGATGGTACTGGGGGAAGGCTTTGGATTGTATCTCAAATTAAGCTTTGCCACTTAAATGTGGCGCTCTCACCAAGGAAGAGCTTGGGGCCTGAATTATTGAGATTTATGGTGCACCTTTAGTGATCAAATTTGTCTGGACATTTTCTTAGTTCCCCACGTGTCCCTATCATTAAAAAAAAACAAAAACAAAAAACCCCTCTCAAGACATGATTACTTAGAGGAGACACCCTGCTTGTTCTCTTCTTGTCTTGGATCTCAATCTATATTTTATTTTTCTACCAACCATGCCCCCACTATCTTTAAATGCCTGCGTGTCCTGTTAGTATTGATTGTAGTCACCAATTAGTGGAGGTGGTTTATAGAAGTGGAACAAGCTCTGGGAATAATTTTGGGTCTGAGTTTCAGAATTTCTACTCACTTTGAAGCAAGAATAATCTTCCTTCCCCGTCCGTCTTCTGCTGAGGGAGATAAGACATGTATTATTGGTTCCCAATATGATTTCTTTCCCTGCCAGGCAGTCAACAAACTGACTTGCTGTGGCTAAAGAAAGGTTGGAGGGCAATGAAGACAAGTGTGCTCTGGGAAGCAAGCACAGACCCTCCTAGCATTTTTCCTTTTTTTCCAACAGCAAGGTCAAGATTTGCTTGCTTGCCAAGGTAGTGGGTCCCGACCTGCTGAGCTGTCTGTCCTTCTGAATTTTTTGTTCTTCAAGCTCAGAAATTCCTATAGGATTGCATGGAGGCACCACCAACCTGACAATTTTATATCCTCAGACTCCTCATGGGGAAAGCCAGGGCACCCACTAGGATCAGGTGGCAGCAGTGGCACCTTGAGCATGACAGCCAAGCAGAGGGCTGCATGAGCAGAGGTGGGGGAGGTGGGAGAGGCTGCAGTCACTTCCCAGGTACTGTCTGGTCTACCCAGATTTCTCCCAGGACCCCTGAGAGGGCAGCGCAGGCAGGACCGGAGGGTGGTTTCTGCAGTAAGCCCTTTGTTTAAGGAGTTGCCAGAGCCTTTCTCAGTGCTCCAAAATGTCTTGGCTGACAAGGCTTCTTACTTCCTGGGGTAGGCCAGGGTGCCTTGCAGGGCTTGGCTGCCCCAAAACCTCTCACTGAAGAAGAGACTGTGGCTGGGTTTTTCTGGGTCGGGGACTGGATGCCAGCCTGGCCCATGGGGCTCTGGGCTTCCAGGGCTGGAGGAGAAAAGGACAAAGGGAAACCAGGTTTTCACTGAGTTTGATTTTCATTAGCAAATGAAATTTACCTGCTCTCACTTTAACTCAGGAGGCTGTCAGCACTGCTCCCTGGCACTATTTCTTTGCATCCATCCAGCATTAGCATAAACATTCCTTGGTTGGTTCTAAAGATACTTTGTATTTCAGTATATTCATGTGTTTTTAATGTATCCAAGCAGCTTTACAAGCCAGTTTTGCAGAACATCTTAACCCTCTCTCTCCCAACCTAGGTGGGCTGGGACACAGATAATGGCAAAGGAAGAAAGATCCAGAGGAAAAACCGGTTGAGGGGCTGAGGAGAGAGAAAGACAGAAGATGAAACCGTCAAACAGTGTAGCACCTCTGAAGCCAAACTTGAGCAGATCAGCTGAGAACCGAGCAAGTGGGGGACTGCACTACTTACAGAGGGCATTTTGGGTGTCCCATCAGGGAAGCTGTACCCTCTTTCTTAGGGAAAAGGGTAAATCCTGAGACCTGGGCTGAAGTTGGCCAGGGGACAGGGAAACGGCTGGTTGATTGAGTCACTGATTCAAGCTTTTGTTCGATATTTCTGTGCATTTGAAACAATAATAATTCAGTAAACGGCTCAAGGCTGTGGGGATAGTTTTGGTCACTGTGGTGACCAAATGCTAGCATGGTGAAAGTGGAAGTGTAAGGAAGACCCACAGGGACCCCCACTTTGCCTTTAAGATCCCTTCACGAGGTAGATCTCAAGAACAGCAGGTTTTCAGAGGAGCCCCTCTCCTGCTGCCTATAGGGTTTTTTGTTTTTGTTTTTTTCAGGTACCACAAAGCCAGTAGTGCATAGGGCTTCAGAAAAGACGGCAGGAGCTCAAGGAAGACTCCAGTTTGTACAGCCCTGCCCTGTTTCCCTCAGAGAGTCCCTGAGCAAGGAGACCCCCACCCCATACACACCATTTTAGAACAACCAGGTTCCAGACTCCCATGAGGAGCATTCCCCTAGCCAGCCACGCGTGGACTCCCCAGGACTGGCGCAAACTCCGGCCTCCAAGACTCGGCTCTGGGAGGCCTAAGTGACTCGGAAGCCGGCGGCCGGCCGCGGCAGCCGCGGTGGTGGTCAGAGAGCTCTCTTCCCAGACAGTGCCACTGCTCACTCTTCACTGGAGCTGGAAACAATCTTCGCA